ACACAAAATAATGTTCTTTTTAGCAACATCATATGACCCCTTTAAGTTATTTTAAAGGCTATTGTTCACTTACATCTATTTTTATTACCACAAAAAAATTAATTATAATTATAGGGCCCTATGTAATCCGTTTTATTTCCAAATTCAGGTTTTAATGGTTAAATTAAATTTTATTAATCAAAAAGCCTGTCTAATTAATTGAGTTTTACAGTTTTATCTTTACCAAATTCTGTTTTCCATTATTTTCTGGATTCCATTTTAATGGTTCCATTAATTTTTAATAATCAAAAGCATCTCCAATTAATTGATTTTATTAAAAAAAAAAAAAAAAAAATTTTTTTTTTCAGGAATACTGCACATTTAAATTTTTCTTCTAAATAAATTATGGTAAATAATATTTCTGGTAAATACTCCTTTAAAAAGTGTTTTTTGATTATAATTTTATTATTAGTAGACTAGAACACGTGGATATGTTGTCATTCTTACACTATAATACTGAACTTTGATTTCAGTGATTTGGACTATGAGATGGACACTTGCTTCTTGCACTTTATGTTGCACTTTACTTTTTTACTTTTGGATTTCATTTGGTTTAATGAAATATAGTTTAATAAAATATTCGTAAGTAAAATTGTTGATTTTTTGTGTGAGAAATTAATCGTTTAGATTAATCAATAAATTAGTCGATAGATCTAATCGTTAATGGCAGCCCTAATATTGAATTATTGTCCAGCCCTACGTTGTAACGATGTAATCAATATTATATACTTCACCTGTCAGTGGTTTTAATGTTGAGGCTGATTAGTGTAAAGGGGATAGGGAGTGATTCAGACAGTGTAAATATACTTTCTATTTGGGTGAATGAAGTCTGGTTTCACATCAGTGTCACGTGAATCTCTGCAGTGCAAACAGAGTGTGCTCTGCTCTAGAGACAAGATAGCACACACAGCAGATCATATGCTCGAGCCGGCGCGGACCACAAAATGTGTCCATCCCACCTGAATTTTACACAAAATGCTTGTGTAGAATATTTTAAAATACGATGGGAGAGATCAAACATGGCAAATTGTTAGACATCCTTGGCATTATAAACAGCAATGATGAGTAGAATAATATAACACTGGTGCCATGCTCCAACGTGCAGTACTGGTCAAATGTTTCGGTTTGGTAGTGTTTGTTGGAAGGTTTTTTTTTTGTTTTGTTTGTTTTTTTGAACGTCTCTTCTGCTCACCAAATTAAAACGTGTTTTCTGTGTGAATATATTGTAAAATGCAATTTATTTCTGTGAGGCAAAGCCGAATTTTCAGCATCATTATTCCAGTCTTCAGTGTCACATTATCCTTCAGAAATCGTTCTAATATGCTGATTTGCTGCTCAAGAAACATTTCTGATTATTATCAATGTTGAAAACAGTTGTGCTTTTTCATATTTAGAAAAAAATATGGTAACACTTTAGTATAGGGTCCAATTCTCACTATTAACTAGTTGCTTATTAGCATGCCTATTATTAACATATTGGCTGTTTATTAGTGCTTATAAAGTACATATTCTACATTACCATATTCTACATCCCTAATCCTACCCAATACCTAAACTTAACAGTTACCTTACTAATATGCAGCAAATTAGGAGTTTATTGAGGCAAAAGTTGTAGTTAATGGTTTGTTAATAGTGAGAATTGGACCTTAAACACTTTACTTTTTTACTTTTGGATTTCATTTGGTTTAATGAAATATAGTTTAATAAAATATTCGTAAGTAAAATTGTTGATTTTTTGTGTGAGAAATTAATCGTTTAGATTAATCAATAAATTAGTCGATAGATCTAATCGTTAATGGCAGCCCTAATATTGAATTATTGTCCAGCCCTACGTTGTAACGATGTAATCAATATTATATACTTCACCTGTTAGTGGTTTTAATGTTGAGGCTGATTAGTGTAAAGGGGATAGGGAGTGATTCAGACAGTGTAAATATACTTTCTATTTGGGTGAATGAAGTCTGGTTTCACATCAGTGTCACGTGAATCTCTGCAGTGCAAACAGAGTGTGCTCTGCTCTAGAGACAAGATAGCACACACAGCAGATCATATGCTCGAGCCGGCGCGGACCACAAAATGTGTCCATCCCACCTGAATTTTACACAAAATGCTTGTGTAGAATATTTTAAAACACGATGGGAGAGATCAAACATGGCAAATTGTTAGACATCCTTGGCATTATAAACAGCAATGATGAGTAGAATAATATAACACTGGTGCCATGCTCCAACGTGCAGTACTGGTCAAATGTTTCGGTTTGGTAGTGTTTGTTGGAAGGTTTTTTTTTTGTTTTGTTTGTTTTTTTGAACGTCTCTTCTGCTCACCAAATTAAAACGTGTTTTCTGTGTGAATATATTGTAAAATGCAATTTATTTCTGTGAGGCAAAGCCGAATTTTCAGCATCATTATTCCAGTCTTCAGTGTCACATTATCCTTCAGAAATCGTTCTAATATGCTGATTTGCTGCTCAAGAAACATTTCTGATTATTATCAATGTTGAAAACAGTTGTGCTTTTTCATATTTAGAAAAAAATATGGTAACACTTTAGTATAGGGTCCAATTCTCACTATTAACTAGTTGCTTATTAGCATGCCTATTATTAACATATTGGCTGTTTATTAGTGCTTATAAAGTACATATTCTACATTACCATATTCTACATCCCTAATCCTACCCAATACCTAAACTTAACAGTTACCTTACTAATATGCAGCAAATTAGGAGTTTATTGAGGCAAAAGTCGTAGTTAATGGATTGTTAATGGTGAGAATTGGCCCTTAAAATAAAGTGACCAAAAATATGTATTAATACTTTTATTCAGGAATAGATTGATCAGAGGGTGACAGTAAAGATATTAATAATGTTACAAAACATTACTATTTAAAATAAATGCTGTTCTTTTGAACTTTATATTCATCCAGGAATCCTGAAAAATAAAATGTATTAACGGTTTCACAATTTTTACTGTATTTTTGATCAAATAATTGCAGTCTTGGTGAGCATAAGAGACATTCAAAAAGATTTTTAAAAATCTTAGCGATCCCAAACTTTTGACCAGTAGTTCAAATGACATGCACTTCAAAAACAACACCATCAGCATAAAAAAAAAAAAAAAAAATTCCCCCCCTCTATTAGTATTGGGCATCTATCTTAATTTTTAAACTTTGACCGTCACCAGCTGTCAAGTGCTACTTTGCCAGGCTGCAACATAAACAAAATGCTATTGGCTATTTTAAAAAAAGGGAGATGAGCCACATGATATGCCCTGCTCTGACTTTGTTTCAGTGGAAATTACGTCAACATATTGAATAATGCTGTGTATTTCAAGACAATTCAGAGGGACTTCAGATTTCTATAATGTATGTGTATATGTGTGTGTCAAGGGAGCAGGCACGTCTTCGAGAAAGTGTGAAGGAGGAGGACACAGAGGATTGGCAGAGGAGTCCAGACTTCAGCGGGCTGGAGAGAGTGGGAGGAGTAGATCTTTCATTCATTAAAGGCGATGACATCAATGCCTGCGCTCATCTGGTGGTGCTCACGTACCCTCATATGAAGGTGCACATCTCCACTTAGATCCGCTTATCTTTTGCGGTAAAACCTCTAGCAATTGTCTACTGTTGATATATTGTATGCAAGATGCCTTGCTTTTATTGCCTTACAGTATTATTATGGATCAGTAGAGTTAGATGCAGGTAAATGGTTAGGGTCACTTTAGCCTGTTAGACACAAGACAAGGCAACTTTCACCAATGTTCCCAAATGTTACTAATCTGTTTTACATTTACATTTAGTCATTTGGCAGATGCTTTTATCCAAAGCTTTTATACAAATTATAATGACTTATACTGTCTTTTTACGCGTTGCGTTGCATCGCGCCGCGTAAACATAAAACCATGTCTGCATTTGTGATCGGAGAAATGATGAACAACAAGCCCTACTCTACACTGCCCCAAAAAACTCGCTTTAAATATATAAAATATAAAATCTCTTTAAATATAAAAAACGTACTTACAATCTGTGAGTCAGAACAGCCGGCATTGAAGTCTACTCTACCAGGATCAG